ATTAAAAACTGACCACACTAGGCAGGGCAACACAGCGTAGACAGTTCTCTCGCTATGCTGAGAACTCAGTGTGCTCTCCTTCAATGATCAGACTTGTGCTGACACCCACCCCCCACTGCCATTCACTGGGAAGTGCAGTGATCAGTTATAAAAAAAAAAAGGGGGAAACAGATGTTTAAAATGTTGTTTATATCTATACACAAATGTTTTACCTATCATTTCTGTTTTAAACTACATGGGTTGCTTTACAAGATTCCTGTTTACATATTCTCTAATATGTATAATCTTAATCATCTGACCATTCACTTTGTAAAGAAAGAAAATAATATCTCTTTTAATGTATGTGATATATATATATATATATATATATATATATTGTATTATGTAAACCTTTTACTCATGTGGGCATATGCAGTAATTCCACACCTCCTCAAGGCTTTTGTGGTTTAATTTCTAACAGTGCCACAGATCAGACGTAGCTATCACATCTAAAAATAAAATAATCTTTGACGAAAAAAAAAAAAAAAATCTGAAAATGTTGACCTCCTGGCAAAGTCTGCTGCTAGATTTATCAGAGGAGGGGCATGTGACTTGGTAAGACACAGCACAAGCTCAAAGGAAACAGCCGCTCGTTTCATGCATTAGCACTTGGCAAGTGAGCAAGGAGTGGAGATGTTTGTGGAATACCTCTGCACAGAGATGAACACTAAGTAAGTAACTCAGACATTTCCCAGCCATTTCACCTTCAATACTAGAATTTAGAGATCTCACCTCTATGGGGGTCATGTGCAGAAAATAACCTGCACATTTCATGTTTTCTGTTTGACATTTTAAATAGCATTGCTTTAATCTGTGATAATGAATTCCCAGTAAAGGGTGTGCGGTTATGAATTGGTTAATACAAGACAGGATGCATTTCTTTAGCGCAAAACCGCATAGTATGCGAAGCTGAACGTGTTTCTAATTTTAGGCTTGGCACCGTGTCCAACTTTTCTCGAAAAAACTTTTTTTATGTTTCTTATCTATTCTGTTGCTGGCTATGGTAAAAAAATAGGTGCTTATTGAAATCTTTTATTTGAAGGAACTGTGATTTTGTGGGCTTAGACAGGCTCACAATACCTCTAGGCTGCTTACAACACTGTGTACATTCTTAACAAGTCATATGAGTTTTTGTGAGCTAATCATGTATCCAGGGCTTGCGGCTGTCTCATGATTGTGCTTACCAAAACATTGTCATAGCTTGTATTGTGTACACTTCAGCAGCTCTCTAATTAATAACTTACACATTTTCTGCCATGTATTCATCATTTATATGTTTATATTACATACAGCTATGCTACATTACAGTATATGGATATATATATTACAATGGCATTACTCAGCCATACTTCAAGGTTGTTAGGGGAGAGCAAGGAGATTATATTGAGGATTTCTTTTCAGTAAGAAGACAGTGTTACCACAATCTGGTCATTTAAAGCAATGGTCTTGAAACTGTGGCCCTTTGCTTGCCTTTATCCAGCCCTTGGGGTACTCTTCTCTCACTGACATTAACAATAAGGCACTATTCCTTCCCCTGAAAACAACAGTGGGGCACAATTTTTCCACTGACACTAATAATGGAGCACAATTTTTCCACTGACACTAATGATGGGGCACAATTTCTTCCACTTCCACTAACACCAATCATGGGGCACAATTTCTTCCACTGACACCAATGATGTGGCATTATTCCTCCCACTTACACCGTTGATGGGCACAATCCCTCCCACTGATACAATGATGGGGCACTATTTATCCCATTGACAATAATAACATGATAGTATGTCTCTCTCTGACACCGATGATGGAGCACTATTCCTCTCACAGACACCAATGATGTGGTATTATTCCTCTGACAGACACCAATGATGGGGCAATATTCCTCCCACTGACACCAATGGTGAGGTACTATTTCTCCCACTGAAACCAACCACGGGGTACTATTCTTTCCATGGACACCAATGATGGGGCACTATTCCTTCTATGGACACCAATGATGGGGCACTATTCCTTCTATGGACACCAATGATGGGGCAATATTCCTCTCAATGACACCAATGGTGGGACACTATTCCACTTGTGAACAATATTCATGGGGCACAAATTCTCCCACTGACACCAATGATGGGGCAGTATTCTTCTCACTGACACCAATGATGAGGCAATATTCCTCTCACTGACACCAGTGATGGGACTCTATTCCTCTTATGGACAACATTGATAGGGCACTATTCCTCCCACTGACACCAGTGATGGGACACTATTCCTTTCATGGACAATATTCATGGGGCCAAATTCTCCCACTGACACCAATCTTGGGGTATTATTCCATTCATGGAAACAAATGATGGAGCACTATTCCTCCCACTGACACCAATAATAGGATACTATTCCTCCCACTGACACCAATAAGGGGGCACTATTCTTTTCATGGACACCAATGATAGGGTACTATTTTTCTCATCGATACTAATCATGGGGCACTATTCCTCTCACTGACACCAATGATGGGGTACTATCCCTCTCACTGACACTGATGAGAGAGACATATTTCTCTCACTGACACCAATGATGGACACTATTCATCTCATTGACACCAATCATGGGACACTATTCCTCTCGTGGACAAAATTGATGGGGTACTATTCCTCCCACTGACACCAATGATGGGGCACTATTCTTGTCACTGACACCAATGATGAGGCAATATTCCTCTCATTGACACCAGTGATAGGACACTATTCCTCTCATGGACAACAATAGGGCACTATTCCTCCCACTGACACCAATCATAGGGCACTCTTCCTTCCACTGACACCAATGGTAGGGCATTCTTCCTTCCACTGACACCAATGATAGGGCACTATTCCTTCCATGGACACCAATGATGGTGCACTATTCCTCTCACTGACACCAATGATGGGGCTATATTCCTCTCACTGACACCAATGATAGGCACTATTCTTCTTACTGAAACCAATAATGGGACACTATCCTCTCATGGACAACATTCATGGGGCACAAATTCTCCCACTGACACCAATGATGGGGCACTATTCTTGTCACTGACACCAATGATGAGGCAATATTCCTCTCACTGACACCAATGATGGGACACTATTCCTCTCATTGACACCAATGATGAGGCACTATTTCTCCCACTGACACCAATCTTGGGGCACTATTCCTTTCATGGAAGCAAATGATGGGGCACAACTCCTCCCACTGACACCAGTAATAGGGTACTATTCCCACTGACACCAATAAGGTGGCACTGTTCCTTTCATGAACACCAATGATAGGGTACTATTTCTCTCATCGATACCAATCATGGGGCACTATCCCTCTCACTGACACCAATGATGGGGCACAATTCTTGTCACTGACACCAATGATGAGGCAATATTCATCTCACTGACACCAGTGATGGGACACTATTCTTCTTATGGACAACATTGATAGAGCACTATTCCTCCCACTGACACCAATGATGGGGCACTATTCCTCCCACTGACACCAATGATGGGGCACTATTCCTCCCACTGACACCAATGATGGGGCACTGTTCCTTTCACGAACACCAATGATGGGGCACTATTCCTCTCACAGTCACCAATGATGGGGCACATTCCTCCCACTGACACCAATGATGGGGCACTGTTCCTTTCACGAACACCAATAATGGGGCACTATTCCTCTTACAGTCACCAATGATGGGGCACTATTCCTCCCACTGACACCAATGATGGGGCACTATTCCTCCCACTGACACCAATGATGGGGCACTATTCCTCCCACTGACACCAATGATGGGGCACTATTCCTCCCACTGACACCAATGATGGTGCACTGTTCCTTTCATGAACACCAATTATGGATCACTATTCCTCTCACAGTGACCAATGATGGGGCACTATTCCTCTCACAGTCACCGATGGGGCACTATTCCTCCCATTGACACCAATGATGGGGTACTGTTCCTCTCACTGACACCATTGAGGGGACATTGTTACTGATGCTAGTACATTTTCTACTCCTACTAACAGTCTGGCCTCTCTAAAGTCTGAAGGATAATAAACTGGCGCTTTGTTTAGTAAGTATGGAGATCCCTGGTTTAAAGTGAAGCAAAATTTTGGTTTAAAAAATAAATTCTATTGAAGCAAATATTCTCAACTCAAAAAGTAACTTCTTTTGCTCTCAGTCTACTTCAGATACCAAAATTCCTTTGTCTTTGCTGCTGTGATCCGACTTACTGTTAGAGGGCGGCTACATTCGTTCTCTATGGTTTCACTGTGTGTAGGTGTGTAGTCACCCTCTCCTTCTTATCCCCGAAATGGACTAGAGACTATGGACTATGGGATTTGTAGTGCACATGACTACAAGAATAATGCACTGCTTGTTCCAAACAAACAGAAGTGAGGTGGACAAAGACAGGTTTGGGAGCTCACGGATGATGTTACATGCAGGCAGAAAAACACAGTAAAAGAATTTAATGAAAATATATTAAGGGGACATTATGTAGTGGATGTGTACGATTTTTTTTTTTGTGGAGAAGGATTACATTTAACATTACTTTAACTGCCTCCCGCCCGCCATATAAGGAAATGACGGGCGCAAGGCGGTTCTCTCGTTCTGGGAGGACGTCATATGACGTCCTCCCACTCTATTCACGTGTGCACGGCTCCAGGGAGCGCGCAGCGAGGCAATTGGTGGTGTGCTGTGGATCACCGATCAACGGAAAGAGCCGAAGATGTCAGCTTGGTCATGTGATTAGCTGTGTCCAATCACAGCTGATCGCATGTAAATAGGGAAATGCTGGTTATCGGCATTTTTCTCCCAACAAGCTGTCACGCTGACAGCTTGAGAGGAGAGGAGAGCCGGTAATTGGCATTCCTCGGAGGGGACATGTACACTGATCATCAAGGCACTGATGATCAGTGTGTCATGATGATCAGTGTAGCCACAGCAGTGCCACCTGTCAGTATCTATCAATGCTATCAGTGCTCATCATTGCCACCTGCCAGTGCCCATCAGTGCACATCAATGCCACATATCAGTGCCTACCAATGTACATCAATGCCACATATCAGTGCCCATCTGAGCTGCCTTTCAGTGCCACATATCAGTGCCAGCCAGTGCCACCTATCAGTGCCAGTCAGTGCTGCCTAACAGTGCCAGTCAGTGCCACCTACTATCAGTGCCAGTCAGTGCTGCCTAACAGTGCCAGTCAGTGCCACACTATCAGTGCCAGTCAGTGCCGCCTAGCAGTGCCAGTCAGTGCCGCCTAGCAGTGCCAGTCAGTGCCGCCTAGCAGTGCCAGTCAGTGCCGCCTAGCAGTGCCAGTCAGTGCCGCCTAGCAGTCAGTGCCGCCTAGCTAGCCCGCCTATCAGTGCCATATATGAGTGCTGCTGCCTTCAGTGCCCATCAGTGATGCCTGTCAATTCCCATCAGTGCCACCTACCAGTAACTCCTCATCAGTGCCCATCAGTGCCACCTATAAGTGCCCATCAGTGTAGCCTATCAGTGCCCATCAGTGCAGCCTCATTAGCGCACATCAGTGAAGGAGAAAAATCACTTATTTACAAAATTTTATAACAAAAACTAGGAAAAAACTTTTTTTCAAAATTTTCAGTAGTTTTTGGTTTGTTTAGCAAAAAATAAAAAACCCAGAGGTGATTACATACCACCAAAATAAAGGTCTATCTGTCACAAAAAAATTATAAAAATTTCATATGGGTACAGTGTTGCATGACTGCGCAATTGTCATTCAAAATTCAACAGCACTGAAAGCTGAAAACTGGCCTGGGCAGGAAGGGGATATAAGTGCCCGGTAGGTGAGTGGTTAAATTGATATTAAACTCAAAACCAAAAATGTAATATATTGCAGCTTACCAATCATAAGATGTGGTGGCTGCATTAGTTTTCTTTTTGTAGACTTTTCCCCTCTGTTTTCCCCTGGTGATCTGTCTAGTAACACACCTCCTGTGTGAAGGAGCACAGGGGGCACCTTTGGATGGCAGCATTGTCTTTCTGGGGGGAGGGGAGTGTCAGATGTACTAGCAGATTTAAATACACTAACACATTGACAATTCACAGTGCAGTTACAGCAACAGTTTTTTTCCTCTGTTGATAAAAGGTTTACATGAATAAATAAAAGCTGACCATTGTAAGCACCCCTGTCAGTGGTAAATGGTTTGTCTCAACCCTGTAACTGCTACATTTGCAAGAGAGCTTGTTTTGTTGAAAAACAACAAACTTACTGGCTGAATCACCAAGTCAGCACAAAAGAAAAAAAGCCTAAAAAAGAAAACTAATGCAGCCACCCCATATAAGAATTGGTTTTCAATAAAATTGTTTCAATAAAATAAATGTCTGCTTTTGAATTTAATACCACTTTAATATACTTATAGGTCCTAGAATTTAAAGAGAAGTATGGAAATAAAAAAAAATAATTTAAAAATTCATACTTACCTAGATGGCTGCAGAACCGATCCAAGCCGCAGCTGTGTCCCGCTGGCTCTACACCGAGAACGGAGCAATCAAACACTGTTGATCACTCATTTCTCAGCTCCACTCTGAGCACAAAGTAATGACTGTCAGTCTTCGCTCCCTGCTTTGCCCCTCCAGCACTCACTGGAGTGCTGGGCTTTAGAGGGGGGAGGAAAGGCTGGCTCAGTCTCTCACCAGTGTGCTGAGAGGCTGAGCCAGCTGTCAGTCAGGCATTTGGGTAGATCCTGACATTATTGTCAAGATCCTGCTGAACCTAGATCGGCTCTGTGGTGTCAGCTGACAGTGGCCCACTGTCAGCTGAATCTGGAGCACAGAAATGCAGAACTAAGTGCAGAAGAGCTTTGGCCAAAATCCTAGTTAAATTTAGCACAGTAAATTTCCACTAAGCCTAGTGAAGCAATTGTAGCTGTGTTCTGATTACCCAATCGTGCAGCGGTATTTAAAAAAAATAAATTGCTTGCACATGATATAATTGAATAATTGAAGGCCTAGTTCACACTAGTGATTGGGGGTGGTAACACCCTGTGGTTGTGCTGTGCTTTATCCACCTCCACCCCTACCCCCTTTAGCTCTGGAGGCAGTGGCTGGGGGAGTACCAATACATCAAACCCATGATTTGCTTTATCAGGAATTATGCCCGCCAAACGTGACTCACTAAAGTGAATGGGGCCACTCTGCAAGCATCCCGCATCCACGTGCTGTCCAGCAAAAGTAACAGTTAGGCTGTTGAGATAAACCATTTAACACTGACAGGGGTGCTTACAAAGTTCAGCCTTTATTCATTTATTTATGCAAAACCTTATCCCAAAAATAAAGTAGCTGTTTCTTTTACTGCTTTAAAAGTGTTAGCTGGAGTTCACCTTTATGTATTTGTTAGCTAAGTCCATCTAAATCTGAGTACATCTAACATTACTCTCTCCCCAGATTCATAATGTTGCTGTCCAAACCTGTCTCATGCTCCAGAGTGGTGATACCCTAAGACAGGAAGTATGTTTTGGCCAGATCAGCAGGTGAAAAAAAAAAGCCTGAAAAAAAGAAAACTAATGAAGCCTCCGCATTTAACCCTTTTATCGCCAGAGCTATTCTGAGGAGTTTTTTTTTTTTGCACACTTGTTAAAAAGAATTATTTTGGGCCTAAACATTAGTTAAACCCCACAAACATACATTTTGTTCTGAGAGCAGACTAATGGTAGTAGATCTAATTTTGTTTATGTCACAGGATATTATTGCAACAGTTTATCAGCATACATTTTCTGTGCAAAACACAGTATAGTATAGTACACATTTTTCATCTTTTTTTTGTGTAAAATTTAAAAGATAAGGTCCCTGTCACATGGGCGGACTGATAGCGTCCGTCTCTCCGTTTTTCAGGTGGACCCGATCGGACCTTCCATTGTCCTCTATGGAGAGGTGAATGTAAACAGACTGCCTGTCCATTTACACCCGCCTGCATCCGTCCATCCATCCATTTCCCATCCGTCTAGTGCACAGGTGTCAAACACAAGGCCCAAGGACCGAATCCGGCCCTTCAGGCCATTTCATGTGGTCCTTGCACAGCTCCTGCAGGTACCCCTTTGTCTCTGCACCCACCTTGTCTCAGCAGTCAGCAGCAGAGAGGAGAGTAGAACTCCTCTGCCAAATCCTGCTCCTCTCAACGCAGCTGCAGCACCCCCTCATCTCTGCCTCCCCTGGTCTTGGCATTCAGCAGACTCTGGCAACTGATTCCACTCCTCCAGAGATCCTCCTCCAGACCCTGTACTTTTTGCTTTCCAGCTCTGTCTCCACTGTGATGTTAGGGAGGGTGTGGGATTCTTGACATCTGATGTAATGGGGGTGGAGTGCTCTGGATGTCTAGTCTTACATATACAGCCGGCCCTCTGAGGGAAACCATAATGTTGATAGGGCCCGTGATGAAATGGAGTTTAACAACCCTGGTCTAGTGGATCGGATGACACTCAGTGTAAATGGACAGGCACTCATAGAGGACAGCGGGCTGTTTGCTTATGCCAAGCTGTCATCCGCTTGCTCAGGGCTGAGCAGGTGGATCTACTTGGTGGAGTCTGCCCATGTCAAAGGGGCCTAAGGCTATTCCGAGTAAATAGATACTAAACCTGTCAAGTCTTAAACTTGCGTGAACTCATGAAACATAACATGTGTATCATAATTGCATTAAGGTGTCCCCAAAGTACGTGTATATGGGGGGGGTAGGCTCAAACTTTTTTTGCGAGGGTTTTTTATGTGCTTAGGTATACCATAATTTTTTTTAACACTTAACTGTATTGCTATCATATAGGGGACCAACAGACCCTTGTGTGACAGCATTTTTTACTGTGACAGGTTCTCTTTAATGAGCCATCAGGGGTCTGTAAGACTTCTGATGTCTCCCTAAGGCAGGCAATACATGGGTTGAATTCTGAACAAATTTTCTTTAGAAAATCGGAAATTTCTTTTTTTTTTTTTAAATCCTATGGTGCCACCATTGATTTGAAAATTCAACCAACCAAGTCTTCAATTTCAACTCATGTTGCTGCAGGAAAGAATTTTTGTGTCTCTGAATATTATTTTCCAGGCCACAGCACATGCTCATTTCTTTTTCGATTATATTTTTCGCACGATTCTCCCATTATTGATTAGAAATTTGTTTTTCAAAAAATTTCTAACATGCCTGATCGCTCAAATTTGATGGCAGGCTGAAAATCGTCCAATACTGTGGCCCACTACTGGTGTGAAATTCAAACAAAAATTCTTAGTTACGATTTTTTAAAGAAAATTCTTTCGGAATTCGACCCATGTATGTATTACACTTCTCTGGAGTTAATGGAATATAGATCATGCTCATGAGCTTGTTCCCTGGCCACAGCAGCAGTGGAAAGTGACAGCAAAAACCAGAAGTGCAAAATCCTCATCGCAGATTCTTACAAGCAAGGGGAGTCAGTGAACAGATGATAAACATCACTAGCAGTAAAAGTCCTAAAGAATGGGAAGCTCTACTATATTACATTTTTTCCTTTTTGGGTTTTATACTGCTTTAATCATGTAATTTGCGAAATACACTACTCAAACACAGTATAGCATCAAGTCAATTAAACTCCTGGGATATTCATCTGATCAGTTAAGAAGTAGGGGTGGTGTTGTTAATCAGTTTCAGCTGCTTTGGTGTTAATGAAATTAACAACAGGTGCACTAGATGGGCAACAATGAGATTATCCTCAAAACAGGAATGGTTTTACAGGTGGAGGTCACTAACGTTTTTTTCCCTTCTCGTTTTTTCTGACTGTTGTTCACTAGTTTTTCATTTGGCTAGGGTCGGTGTCACTACAGGTAGCATGAGGCAAGACCCTACAGAGGTTGCACAGACAGTCCAACTCCTCCAGGATGGCACATCAATACTTACCATAGCCAGAAGGTTTGCTGTGTCTCAAGAGCATGGAGGTTGTTCCAGGAGACAGGCAGTTACTCTAGGAGACCTGGACAGGGCCATAGAACGTCCTTAACCCATCAGGAGGATTGGTTTCTGCTCCTTTGTGCAAGGAGGAACAGGATGAGCACTGCCAGAGCCCTTCAAATTGACCTCCAGCAAACCAATGGTGTGAATGTCTCTGACCAAACAATCAGAAGCAGACTTCATGAGGGTGGCCTGAGGGCCCGACGTCTTCTAGTGGGCCCTGTGCTCACTGCCCAGCACTTTAGAGGTCGATTGGCATTTGCCATTGAACAGCAGAATTGGCTGGTCCGCCACTGGCGCCCTGTGCTTTTCACAGATGAGAGTAGGTTCACCCTGAGCACATGTGACAGACGTGAAGGGTCTTGAGAAGCCATAGAGAACTTTATGCTTCCTGTAACATTGTTCAGCATGATCGTTTTGGTGGTGTGTCAGTGATGGTCTGGGGAGGTATATCCATGGAGGGACTCACAGACCTCTACAGGCTAGACAATGGCACCCTGACTGCCATTAGGTGTTAGGATGAAATCCTTGGATCCATCGTCAGACCCTACACTGGTGCAGTGGGTTCGGAGTTCCTCCTGGTGCTGGACAATGGCCGGCCTCATGTGGCGAGAGTATGCAGGCAGTTCCTGGAGGACGA